TAATAACAAATCTTTTCAATTTTAAAAATAATTAATTTTGTTTTTGAATGTTTCAACTTATTTTTCATTGTAAGGATTTGAGTTTAAAATAAAAAAAATCTCTATTCATTAATTTGTATTAAACCAAGATTCATTGCTTTTGCTAAAATTAAGTAGTGAATTAATAAAATAAAAAAGTTAGATTTTATTCAAACAATACATTATTAATGTTTAAATTATTTTTATTTATATTAAAGTATTAAAAAACATAGTTTTATTAAATTAATCTAAACCTACCTCATAAAATTAGAAATATAATAATCTATGTAAATTCATTCGTAAGTTGTGTAAGAACGAAGCTTAACAATTGGATTTATTTTTTATTATGTTTATTCTTTTATAATGCCATATTTTGATTACTTAACTTTCCTTTAAAGAAAAGGAAGATTTGATTTAATTTATTTAACATTTTGATTTTTTGTTGTCTTATAACTTTCATTAAGTTTTTGAAAATAAGTTTCTGGAGTATCATTTGATATTGAATCCATAAGTGTTAAATCATTTAGTTTTATTTTTCCTTGTTTTTTGTTATTTAGATTAATAGGTTTTTCATCTTCCTTATTTTTTTCATCTTCCTTATTTTTTTCATTTATTAGAGGAGTGATACTCCTTGACTGCTGTTATTATATATATTGTGTTCTCTATTATTATATTTAAGTCATTCTTAATAATTTTTAATGTAAAACATCTCCTATATTATTTTACAAACCAACTAATTAAGAGAATTCTTTTTTTGTTAACTTCAAACTTTGATTATTTAATAAGTATTTTAAAAAAGGCTTAGATTTCAAATCTTAACTATTGAAATTGTTAAATGATTTACTAACTCTAACAGGTTCTGTTTCCATACGAATTTCACTTTTAAAATTATTGACAATTTTTGCCAATCGTTATTTCCTTTGAATTGAAGAATTAACTATATTTGTGATTTAGGTTTGGAGATTAGATTTTTATTCTTAATTTTTTAAATTCAAAGCAAAAATTCTTGTATCTGGATGAACTTAAAGTTCATTACTAAATACTTTCTATTTGGTCAAGATTATTGATCCATCATTATCAAACGTTAAAACTCCTTTTTTGCATTTTCTTTTTAATTCAAGCAATTATTATTAAAGTTACACTTTCTGTTACACGGATACATGCTTATTGCTAAAAAAAAGTATATATATTTTATTACAATCGTAATTATTCTTACTACTTTTTTTTCATTTCATAGACCCCTCTATAAAATCTATCTTCATCATCTTCTTATTAGTCAATTTATAATGGAATAGGTGAAAATGTTAAATGAAGTGATCCTTATTAAGTTTACTGTAAACGATCTTATTTATTAAAGGAAGATTTCCTCAATGAGTTTACTGAAGATTTCATAGAAGATTTATGGGATTAATTTCTAAATTTTGTAATAGATGTCACAAATTATTGCTAAGGCTCTGAAAGAATTTCAACTTTAATAGCACTTTATAGATTATCTTTAATTGTAATTTTAGGTTCTATATCTTCAATCATATAATCTTGTTATTAGCAAAATTGATAAAAAGATTTCATTAATTGTTAGATCAATGAATTAGATTCAAAATAAGCATTATATGGCAACATTATTTAGATGTGATGATCAAGAATAATTTGATGGCAATTCTGCATCAAATGTTCTAATGATGATTAGACTATGATATATTTCTCAACCAATTATTCAATCTTGCATATTGATAAATATGACATTATTATATATATATATTATATTATTAAATGTTTTAATAATACTGCATTAAAAAACAATAGTTTAAAACTATGTATATTATGAGGATGTATTGAAACAATAATAATACGGAAGTCTGTTTTCTATTCAGAAATTAAAAGCTCTTTTAAGTGATTATGTTTTTTTTTCTTTATTGCTTATTTTAAATAAATCACTTTTTCCTTTTCAAGAATAAATTCCTATATTTTGAAGTCCATGTTGCTGAAAATGTTGGTTCTAATTTATTTGAACTGTTTTCTATTTTAGATAATCGATCTTCAAATTCTTTAAATTCATTTTTAACATTAATAATAGTTTATGTTTGAGGTTTATCCTTATATTTTGAAATAGTTTGTATATTTTTTGAAAGAGATTTCAATTAATAACATTCACTATTCTGTTGAGGTTTTTAAGATAAACTTTAATCTTACAAAATCTTTACTAATGTGACTTTTTACTTCATGCGTTCTTTTGTATATTATTGATGTACTTTCCTTGAATCTTGTAAATTTGTTATCTTTTTTTTAGCAATATCAAAATGGATTTCAAAAAAATCTTAAGAATTAAATAATGGATGTACCATAAGGAGATGGCGTTTTAATTTTAAATAAACCGTAATACATCTCATACAATTTTTCTGTTTTGAGACTAGTTGCTTAAAGACGATAATGAATTTCCCATAGATGTTCAACTTACTTGAAATTCTCTTAAGAAAACTCTTAAAGTAATTCCTATTAAATAATGCATTGTCAGATTACAGAAGCATAATCTCTCAAACAAATTTTAAATATTTCAATAATATCAGATTCTTAATCTGATGCTAATTTTTTTTCAAACATTTTAATCATTCTTAATTAAATACTGTACAAATGTTTCTAATTAAAGGGGGCTAAGTAAAATTCCATAATTAATTAATTTAAGGTCTAAAAATTGTTATTGATTGAACTATCATTTGCTATAAGTGACATAATTATAAAATAATTTATTATATGTAATAATATTGAATTTGTATTTTTATTACAAATCATAATATTTATTCTAAAAAGTAATTACTATCATTCTACTCAGTTAATAGTTATTGATATTTGTTCAACACTTTATTCCAATCATCTTCTAACAGTACATTAACTTACTATCTTAATTGTAGTTTGTCATAATCTCGGCCAAAATAAATAATAATAATATCATCATGGGCTTTGATTGCAACATTCTCGTACTTCCAACAAGCGAATATTATGACTTTTTTGTATCTCATAATAGCAACTCCGTCTTTGGTTAAATATCGATTATTTCCTATAGTAATTAAATTAGGATGAGCAAAATACTTATCAGCAATTGAGCTTATTAATGTAGTATTACAAATTCCTTTTGGTTTTGGAATCAATTAGAATGTTTTATCTATGTAGGAAGCATTTTCGACTTTTCCAATTAGTGGAACAAATTCATAGTAATTTTCTCTCAGAATCCCTAAACTCACTCTATCATTTGCTGAATTAATATTTTTAATAAAATTATGAAATGTTCGACTTGCTCTTACTATAGCTAAGTCTTATTTCATATTTTTACTTCCATCTAAAATAAATATCCAATCTTTTGCAATTGGCTGAAATTGTATTAAAAAATCATTAATTTTGATTAAAGATTTATTGTTATATTAAAATATTGCTTTCAACATGATTAAAGCTTATAATCTATCTCTACTACTAAATTTACCATTCACACATAAAGATTTTATAAGTAATTATGCTGCCTCTAGTTTTATATTTTTCTTATAAAGAATTAATCCATGATATAAATATAGTTTTTATTCTAGTAATGATATATGTCCTAATTCCCTATCATCATTTTATTACTAAATCTTATTATATTATTCATAAGCAATCTTAATTAAATCTTCACTTTTATTCATTTATCCATTTTATAAATATCCAATAATCAATTTTAAAGTAATATATAATTACTTCTACTTTGTCTTATTTAAATGAAATTACATTATTTCCTAACAATACTCATAAGTTTTTATGGTGTCTCTCCATAATTGATTAATTAGGAACTCTATCTCCTTTTCATTAACTGTTTCAATATTGTGAATTATTATATTATTTTTGAAATCATGAGTCCCCAAAAATTATTATCGAATTGTAAACATTATATCATTTAATTTTTAAAGGTCATTTACATTTCTTTTAGCATTCCCTTTTATTTTAATAATCTTTTCAATTTCTTCCTATTCTTCATCTTTATCCTAATTAAATACTGAAACAGCCTTTTATCTCGTAGCATGTGTATTCTCAATTTATGTATACATCATATTTTCTACATTAAATAATGATTTTCGTTATGTTTTATCAGTAAATAATAATTCTTAAAGTTCTAAAATCTCAGATAGTAAAAATTCACCCAAAGCTTCACATAGATTAAAACATCGATTAAAAACAATTTTACTTAAGTTTTAATATTCTTAATCAACAATTAATTCATCTTCATGAATTCCAACACTTGAATATTTATGTTTGTATTTTTCCCATTCATTTTATATACATATTATAGCTTCTTTAAAACAAAAGATGGCTTCTTAAAATCTCCTATTTCTTATATGAATAACTCCCATATTATTTTAAATGACACCTGCACCTAATTTATTACCATTTTCTAAATAAAATTGATTAGCAACTGCATATCCAATGATTGCTTAACCATCATTACCTTATATGAATGCTTCATTTGCAATTTTGACTATTCCAATAAAATCATATACACTTCTTAATAATAATATCATTTCATCAGGAATTAATTTAGAAGATTCTCCTTATAATCTTTCTGAAAAATATTCATCAATGTTATTTTGATCTATATTTCTTAAAGAATGTGTTAACTCATCTATTGGAGAAGCTACTATTAATGCAATTGATTTTGCATAATAATTTATGGCAGCAATAATTAAGACAAATTCTATTCCTGCCAAAGATAATGTTATTTATAATATTTTACTATTATCTGATTTCAATGCTTTATTCATTATATTGTTACTCTAAATAAATTCTTAAAAATATGATTAAAACATAATTTAATCTGTAAGATTTCCTGATTGATGATATACTATTGTGCAAATTAAAATCTCATTTGAAAGGATGTAATATTAAGCACCATCACTATATATCTAGATATTGGAATCAATTTAGTTAGGCAAAGCACTATTACAAAGCAGCGCTACTCTATAATATATAGAATCTACTATAATATGGAGAAGTTGAGTTTATTGATATTTTCAATTCACTTATACTATCATTTACTTTATATAACTCTACAAACCAGGAATAGAATGCCATAAAGAATATTAGCACTATGCAAATTATAAGAGGAGCTACAAAAAGTATACGAATTTATTTCGTAAAAATCATTATCTAAAATAATTATTATCTTTATAAACTGTGTTTTATATAACACCCTAATGTTAAAATTATTTAGTTGTCATATTTATCTTTATCAAACAAATTGATCTATAGAATATATATTCATCTATTCAAATTACACATTCTTTTCATTTTTATATATTATTATAAATTTAATATGGATTATGATGATTTATACAAGGTCTTACCAAAAGACCCTAAAAAATGGAAACTTGATGATGTTACTATTTGGTTGAAATTTATTGGATTATAAGATTTAGATGTTAATTTTAGATAAAATTCTGTGGATGGAGCATTATTAAGTACCTTAGATGATAATGATTTAAAAGAAATGGGAATTGCTGAATCTTCATTGAAAATTAAAAAATTAGTCTAATGTAATCAATATCTATAATTAAAGGGATTAAAATTGGTTTCAAAGAATATTCTGAATATTTGAAATCATTGGAAAAAGATTAAAATTTTGATTCTCAAAAATAAATTTTTAACTAGTATCAAGAAGAAAACGATACATCTAATAATCTAGTTGTTTCAAATTAATTTAAAAGAAGCTCAATTAAAGCTGCAAATTTTGAAGATTAAGTATAGAGTATTTAGTCATTCAAATAAAATATTCAAGAAGTTAATAATGATGTACATGAAATTATTAAGACAACCCAAATAAAAAATGAATGTATGGCTTATCTATTTAATATAAATAATGGGAATTAGAAAATTTAAATTTAGAAAGAAGGGATTACAATAGGAAGAAATCCAGATAATTCATTAGTACTAAAAGAGGATTATGTTAGTAGATAACATTGTAAGATATTTCATAAAGAAATTAATGGATACTTTTATTTATAAGATTTAGGATCTTCTTCTGGAACATTTGTTTAATTAAGCAATCCAACTTTATTAAAGGAAGGATTGATTCTTCATATGGGTTTGGAATAGTTTTTGATATCAAAAATAAAAATATAAGGAAATAAATGCTAGGTTTTTATTAAAATATTGGAGGGAATAATGGAGAATAAAACTCTTGATTTTGAAATAACTTAAGATTAAACAGCTTTAATTTTTGGAAGATAAATGTCTACATTTGCAGAGGACACTGTATATATATATTGAAATATATTTAAATAGCATTTAAGTGGTTAACATGCATAATTCACATATTAATAAGAAGGATTAGTAGTTGAAGATTTAGATAGTAGAAATGGAACTTGGTTAAGATTAAGTCCTCCACATAAATAAAGTGAGCCTATTAAACTTATTGATGGAAGAAGGTTTAGATTAGCATTTGAATAGTTTTTTGAATTTCATACAAATTGAATTTGCATTTATGATATTAAAATAATATTGCATTATATAAATAAACATAAATAAATTACTTTTTTATCAAAATTTTTTTGTGAATAAATGATTTAAAATGAAATAGCAGAATGTATGAAAAAAATGACATCTTATCTTGATTTGAATGGTTATAAGAAATTCAAGCTTTTTTAAGCATAGCCTAATTATTTTGATTTAAATTATGAGGAAAGAAAAGATTTATTATAAGCTCCCTCTGTAGATTATTTATGTAAATCAATTATAATGGAAAATACAAAATATGATGATTCATATCCTGATAATGAAGTTAATCCTAAATACATATGTGTTGTGGTTCAATATATTACAAAATTGTAAGGAGAGAAGGTATATGATTTAAGAACATTATTAGATTAATAAATATTTTAAATAGTTATAGAATTAGAAATATCCTGATAAATAAATTTCTAGAAATAAATTACATTTTAGATTAACATCTGATGAAGTATAACAATTGTTTATTAAATTAGATGTCATAAAAATTAAGTGGATATTAATTTAATGCAATAACACCTTTTAATATGGTATAAAATATGCCTCTGTTGATTTCTGATAGAATACTAAATTTAGAATATATATGGTTTGGAGGGGGACACACAGATGTTAAATTAAGAATGGATGTTAAAGAAATGTGCAATTTATATCCAAATAAAGTTTATTATTCAGATATCATTATGTCACAATAATGATAGATGAAAATCTAAATATTTTAATATTTGATAATCAATCAACCAATAACTAATCTATTAGCACCTGCTTTCATTTATTATTTTTGTCCTTATTCGTTTGACAATTATTAGAACTTAACATTCAAAATCTTTTTTAAATCACTAAAATAATTCATCTAAGAAATTAAAATATAAGAATTACTTGTCTTAATGAAGGTTCATAGTTTTCTTTAACAAGTTCCCTTTATTATTTAAGATTTTTAATATTCTCTTCTAATTTTAAAATTCTCTATTGAAGCATTTCAGCATTTGATTTAGATTAAGATGATAATTATTTACCACCTTTACTATATTCAGACTTAAATAATATAATAATTTTACTTCATCATTTAATCTTTAGATTTTAATTTCCAAAATTTCAGAATTGTATTTATTAAGTCTTATTTTTCTATCCAATCCATAAACCTCATCTCTAAGCTTTTTAACTTCATTAACTAATGAACTTTAATCACTTTCAACTCCTAACATAATTCTATCGAATTCTTATTTCTTTTATTTATGTTCTTATTCTAATTCCTAAGTACATTAGTATAATATATACAGAATATTATTATCTAATAGTCTTTATTTCTGCTAATTGTTCTTATATTAAAGGTCTTTTGAGTTTAATTTAAGCTTAAATTTCATTAACAATCTTTGAAATTTCTTCTAATGTTTATCCTTTTTTTAAATTAATTTATTAATTTTCTTCTGATAATTTTTCTAAGCCCTCTTTTTTTTTACTATATCCAACAATGCCATGAGTTTTTTCTAATTCTTATTATTACTTAAGTAATTCATTTTTTTATTTTTTTAAAATCAATTCAGTTCTTTCTAGAATGGCTCTTTCTGCTTATAATCCTTTTAATTCATCTTTCAATTTTTAATATAAAAATTTCTTATCTTTTAATTAATTAGCATATTCTTTAAATTCACCTTTAGTTTTATAATTTGGCCCTCTTTCTTTAGCAATTTATTCTTCTTTTTTAAAAACTTCTTTTTCAATTAATTATTATTCTTCTTCTACTTTTTTGATATCATCAACAGCTCTTTCTTTTTTTTTAGCAACTAATTATGCTTGTTATTTATAAATGGTTAATTTATCATCTTCAGGCTTAGCTTCTCTTTTTAATTTATCTTCCATTTAATTAACAGCTCTTCTTAAAGCCATTAAAGTATTTTCTAAATTATTTAATTCATTTAATGTAATAGGTGGTTCTGCAAGTAATCTCTCAATTTATTCTAATTTTTTTCTTCTTTCTTTTAAATCAAATCCTAATCTATCTTTACTAATTTCTCTATTTCTTTTTACTTCATTCCTTAAAGCCATTAACATTTATTCTGGTGAATTATCAGGAGCTAATGATTTCTAAGCATCTATCAATCTTTATTATGCCTACAATAATATTTAATCTGTTTAATCAAGTTACATTCTTTATTATCTTAATTTATCTTATAATCTAGCTTCTTCTTCTTATTCTCTTCTCAACATATTTGTTACTTCTAATAATTCATTAAAATTTGGTTTTGAAGAAACCTTACTCTTAAAATTGCTAATCTTATTTAATAATTATTCTCTCTCTTATTCAAATTAAGTAATATCCTTCTTAAGTTCATCTGGATTCATAGATTATGATTACACTTATTCTAATGATTGATGATGTACTTAAAATTAAGCTTATAAATCTTTTATCTAATCTACACAAGTCTTAATATCATTATCCATTTAAAATTCATCAGGTACAAATACTGGTACTAAATACTTAGCTAAATATGCTCTTTTTTCTAATTCTGGATATCTTGTTAATAAATAATGAAAAATTGGATAAATAACTTTCTTATCCGCTGCCAACACTGATTATGACCATTTATCATCAAATTACCCTGGATAATTTAGAATTCGTAAATACTCAGTTATTTTATAGATTATAGTTTCTTAGTTATCTACTTTCACATCAATTGTCCATCTAGAATCTAAATGTGTAAATATTTTATTTAACTGTTCCAAGAATTCAAACCTAAAATAATTTTCAATATTTATTACTAATTCTGTTCATCAAATGATACTAAACTAAAATTCTCATTAAATTTATTGTTTAAGATTGCTACAATCTCTTTAATATCATCTGTATTGATTACTGTTTTTACTTATTATTCTCCAGAATAAGATGCCATTTTTTAATTATATTTATAATATTCAAAATCTCAATTTATGAATTATTTCTACTCTATTAAATTATTTTTATTATTCTTATAATAAATGTTATTAACACTCATTCATCTTTAAATTATCTCTAATTCTTTTTTATATTTTTTGATTACTTTATTTTAAAGATCATAAATATATTTTGTAATTCCCTCTAATCTTATTTCACTCTAAAAATAAAAGTATTATCTAAAAATATAATCTCTTCATTGATTTCCAATTCAAAGAATTTATTTACATAATTTCAACACTTATTTTTATTATTATTTTAATTCACTAATAATTATAATAATGAAATTCGTTTTAATTGTGTTTTTAGCATTTGCTTATGCTAAAGTAGGATGTGATACTGATAACAAGGAAAGAGTAAAAGAACGTGGAATGTCAAAAAAGAAGGAAGATGAATTATTAGAATTACATAATGAACATAGAAATGATGTTGCTACAGGGAAATAAAAAAACTGGTAAGGTAAATTTTAAACAGCTTCAAATATGAATTATGTTAAATGGGATCATTAATTAGCTAAATTTGCATAAGACTGTACAGATAAATGTCCATCCAATTTTAAAATTGATTGTTCAGTTCCTCCTCATTATGGTTTTGTAGCATATTTAGGTGATGTTGAAAATGGTGGAGCTGATTGGACAGCAAAGAAAGTATTTAAGAAATGGGCTTAATATGAAGATCATGCAAGATAAATTGAAACAGCTTAAGTACAATTCTTTGGATGTGGAAGATCATAAGTTAGTAGAAAAAATGGGATGAGTGATGAAATTGTTGTTTGCGTTTACAATAGAGTATTATAAATTATTTATATATTAGAAACCTAATTTACATGGTGATGTCTATAAGGCTGGAGTAGCAGGATAAGAATGTTTACATGGACGTAAAAGAGGATACTAAGGTTTATGTAAACATAGTGCCACTGATATGAGTGTCTTGAATTTCAAACATCAAAAAAAACATGATGAATACAAATATAATCATTCAGAAGAAAAACATCACAAAAATCATAAGCATCACAAACATAGTGAAATTCATTAAAAATCTTTTTGAATAAATAAATAATATTTAACTAATTTATTAATATATTTTATATGATCATCATATCATTACTTATTTTATTTATCTGTATATTTTATTTTAATTTTCTTATCTTAAAATCATTCATTTTAATTTACTTAATTGACGTGTATTAATTTTAATTTATAAATATTTACAATGTACTTTTTGGATGATTCTAAGAGTATGTCATTAAACACAATATTAGAAATCTAGAAATTGGAATGGGATTTCTCACTGTTAGTCTTATCCTCTTTGTTTTAGGCATTATGCTTTTCTTAGATCGTGCACTTATTGTTATGGGAAATTTATCATTTTTAATTGGATTATTTTTGCTCATTGGAATTAAAAGCACATTGCATTTCTTTTTGAAAAAAGGTAATCAATTCTAATATTTAAAGGCAAACTTAAGGGAAGCATTTTCTTCTTTTTAGGTTTCTTTGTTATAATTTCTTGAAAACTTACAATTATTGGATTCCCATTATAAATTTATGGTCTCTTCTAAATGTTTAAATCATTCTTACCCTTCTTATATGATAGTGCTACTAAATTTCCTATTATTGGTAGATATTTAAGTATTTTAATTCAATATTCTAAAGGAAATCCTTAATTGAAAAAAATGGTTGATGATGTCTCAGCAAAGGGTCCAATGGTTTGAATTATATAATATAATTTTTATTTAATCCTGATAATTCCCTAAGCTCCTTTTTTATTTAAATATATTTAAGCTCCTTGTATCACAATTTATTTATTAATTCAAATAAAATCCATAAATGATTAATTAAGAATGTGATACAAAAATTAAGTAAATAGCCATTAAGAGTGCTTTAAAAAAAGAACTACCTAATGAAGAATAAAGTATTTTATTTACTGACCAATAAAGTGTTTAGACGTTACGATAGAAAAGGTAGATAAATTGCTTTTGGTTCTAAATATGAAGTTACAATAGATGAACATGTTCAATTTTTATAAGCTATCCCTCGGATTTCTACTCCAGGTGATACAACCAAATCTCCATTAGGAATACCTTTAAACTAAAGATCACCAAGAAGCAAATCTCCTTTAATGGACAAAGCTGAAACTGCCACTCCAATTTAGAATTCTTCAAAAAAATTGGAATTTACATAAAAAGAAGAAGAATCTTTGAAAAAATTAGAAATCAATTATCAAAAATAAAAAAAGCTTAGTAAAGAATCAAAATAATGCTGTATAATCTGGTGAAATATATATAAATGAGTGATATTATTATTTATACAAAACTAATTATATGTTGATAAATTATCATTTTACAATTATTATCATGGTTTTTAGTAAAATTTATTAGATCATATTAACAAAACATTACTATTCCTAGATCTTATGAATATTCAAACCTATCTTTTCTGTTTGAAATCATAAATAAAGTTTATTTTTTCATTTTAAAAGAAAAACAAAGAGTATTAATTCAACAATTATAAATTATAATATAATGTAAATAATTAAGAAGTTAAATTAAATTAACTATCTAAAAAAAATAAATATAGGGTTATATTACTAAAGAGTTATAAAAATCAGATGGAAATTATTGGAAGACCTATGGTTTTTGTATAATTTTATTAGTAAAAAAGTTACTTAAACTTAAAATTGATTGAAAATTATTTTGGAAAGCTAAAAAATAATAAATTATTCATTCTAAAATTGATACTAATTCTTTAACATTTGAAAGATCTAAAAAAAGTTACTCTATTTAAATTAGTTAGGAAATGCATTCTTCAGTTTCAAATTACTTTGAAATTTTATTTTTGTCTCTGGAATTCTAAGTNGAAATCCTTAATTGAAAAAAATGGTTGATGATGTCTCAGCAAAGGGTCCAATGGTTTGAATTATATAATATAATTTTTATTTAATCCTGATATAATATAAATTTATTAAAGATCTCTGTAATTCCCTAAGCTCCTTTTTTATTTAAATATATTTAAGCTCCTTGTATCACAATTTATTTATTAATTCAAATAAAATCCATAAATGATTAATTAAGAATGTGATACAAAAATTAAGTAAATAGCCATTAAGAGTGCTTTAAAAAAAGAACTACCTAATGAAGAATAAAGTATTTTATTTACTGACCAATAAAGTGTTTAGACGTTACGATAGAAAAGGTAGATAAATTGCTTTTGGTTCTAAATATGAAGTTACAATAGATGAACATGTTCAATTTTTATAAGCTATCCCTCGGATTTCTACTCCAGGTGATACAACCAAATCTCCATTAGGAATACCTTTAAACTAAAGATCACCAAGAAGCAAATCTCCTTTAATGGACAAAGCTGAAACTGCCACTCCAATTTAGAATTCTTCAAAAAAATTGGAATTTACATAAAAAGAAGAAGAATCTTTGAAAAAATTAGAAATCAATTATCAAAAATAAAAAAAGCTTAGTAAAGAATCAAAATAATGCTGTATAATCTGGTGAAATATATATAAATGAGTGATATTATTATTTATACAAAACTAATTATATGTTGATAAATTATCATTTTACAATTATTATCATGGTTTTTAGTAAAATTTATTAGATCATATTAACAAAACATTACTATTCCTAGATCTTATGAATATTCAAACCTATCTTTTCTGTTTGAAATCATAAATAAAGTTTATTTTTTCATTTTAAAAGAAAAACAAAGAGTATTAATTCAACAATTATAAATTATAATATAATGTAAATAATTAAGAAGTTAAATTAAATTAACTATCTAAAAAAAATAAATATAGGGTTATATTACTAAAGAGTTATAAAAATCAGATGGAAATTATTGGAAGACCTATGGTTTTTGTATAATTTTATTAGTAAAAAAGTTACTTAAACTTAAAATTGATTGAAAATTATTTTGGAAAGCTAAAAAATAATAAATTATTCATTCTAAAATTGATACTAATTCTTTAACATTTGAAAGATCTAAAAAAAGTTACTCTATTTAAATTAGTTAGGAAATGCATTCTTCAGTTTCAAATTACTTTGAAATTTTATTTTTGTCTCTGGAATTCTAAGTACTTCTTCTTTTATTTTTTCTTTTCTTTCTAAATAAGGTATTCTTTAAACTTATATGATTCTGCCTGAAATTTAGACAGAAGTAGTGCAAATTTGATTTAATTTTTAACAAATTTCATCAAGTAAATGTTCGGATTTATGAGGAGGGGATTCAGAAATTTCGTTTTTGGTCTACTATGAGTTTATTTGCATTCAATAAAAGAAATATTCTTTAGTTATATTAAAATTACTTAATATATTTATTTATAATACCGTTTTAGAAAATTTTTTACCAATATGAGTATATTTTATTTGAATTTACTATAATTTTCATCAGTTTTAATTGACATAAAATAAAATAGTATGTCTAATGATGAGAGAATTAATAATGTAGATATTTAAAAAAAATGAATGAATTTAAAGAATGGTCATTAGTATGATTTTTTCTAATTTATTTAAAAATAATAATTGTGTCAAAATTAATGAAATAAAGTTATTACTAAAACCTAAAATTATTTATCTATATTCGATAATTATTAAGAAATAATTAAAAAATTTTAATGATAGACATAAGTATATAAAAAGGTAGATAATTTATAAGAATTTTATATAAAGAATAAAGAAAGATGAATAAATATTAAATAGAGTTTGATAAGAAATTAATTTAATAAACAAATTAATATGCCTCCAAAAGCTCCACCACCAAAAAAATTGACAAAAAAGGAATTAAAGGAGAAAGCTGAATAAGAGAAGAAAGAAAGAGAAGAATAAGAGAGAATTAGAAAGGAAGCTGAAGAGAAATAAAGATTAGAAGAAGAACGGTTACGAAAATTAGAAGAAGAAAGATTGGCTGCAGAAGAGAAGGCTAGATTATAAGAAGAAGAGATAGAGAATGAAGTTTAAAGAAGTGTTTTTAAGGAAAATTTAGATAATGCAAAGAAAGTAATAATGAAAGTTTATAATAAAATTTTAGGTAGCAAGAGCAAATGATGATTGGGATAAGTTTTTGTTATGTTCAATAAAACCTGATATATCATAGGAAGCTTAATTAACAACATTTATAACAATGATGAGAGAACAGAAGATTATAAGTGAATTAAAAGTATAGGAGGAATTACAAAAATTATAGTAAGCAGAAAATATAGAAAGAGATATTCATAGATTTCTGACTTAATTAAAGGCTGAAAGAAAATTTTAATTAATTTAGCAATAATTACAATAATAATAATAATAATAGATAATTTAAAATGACACAGTAGCTAGAAATAAATTATATATATTTTAGATAAGAGAATTAATGATAAAAAAACTTGAAGAGATTAATACATAGATGGTATTAAATGCTGAATTATTTATTGATGTAATAAAATTATATATAATAAAAGGAAAAATTTGCAGAATTAACAAAGAAGGCAAATGAAGGAGCTAAAGGAACATTTAAGTTAGATGATAAAACTAAACAAGAAGTTATAAAAACATTTCAACCAACTGAAGATTTTAA